GGGGGTGCTATGACTGGGGGTGCGGGTGCGCCCTCTACTGGACCTGAAGAGCCTGGGACTGGCCGCGTTGCTGCTGGTGGTGCTGGCTCTGGGGGTGGTGCGACTGGTTCTTTGGAGAGTGGTCCTAGGGCTACCACCGCCCCGGACACTACTCCTCCCCCCCACCCCTACCCGACCCGGCACCAGGCCCGTCTTTGCCGTACACGTGAGGAGCAGCTGGAGTTGGAGCGAGAGGAGCTGGAGTTGGAGCGGCAGCTGCCGCGGGAGCAGCAGCAGGCGCAGCAGCAGCCGCGACAGGAGCAGCAGCAGCCGCAGCAGGAGCAGCAGCAACCGCCACCTCCGCCTTCTGTCTCTGGCCTTCGAACCCTCGGTCTCCCCTCTCCCTGTCCTCCCTCCTCCCTCTCTCGTCCTGTCTACGGTCCCACGTTTCATCCTCCTGACTCCACCCCAAATGTTTTCCCCCATTCTCAGCCTCCGTTGTCCCCTCCTCTTTCTCACACTTGGGATTCTTGCTCTCCTCGTGCTCGTCTTTCGTCCCCTGTCCTTGTCACGTACCATCGTACTGTGTTGTTCCATCCTAGTCTGCCTCGTTCGTCTTCGTCTGTGCTTTTTTCTCCTCCTGATTCGGCCCTCACTGCTTCCCTCTCTACTCCTGTCACTGGCTACTACCACACGTACCGCCCTGTTCTCTCTCGTGTTCTTGCCTCTCTTGTTACGGACCCTCGTACCTCTTTGTCCTTTGTCTCCGCCCTTACTGCCACTGTCATTGAGTTCACTGCTACTCGCGGCCTTGACTACTCCACTTGTCTCGTGGCTCCTCCTCCTACCAGTCCTCTGGCCGTCGGGGGTGAGTCTGCCCTTGTCTGTGACGCCCTAGAGGACAGGCAGTTTGAGGTGGAGTTTCTGGCAATCGCTTCCCGTCATCTCTGCGCCGTGCTGCTCGCTTCTGAAGGAGACCCTGACACCCTTAACATACCGACTCCTCGCACTTACGCTGAGGCAGTGTCAGGGCCTTGGGCCTCTCAATGGAGAGCTGCCATGGACTCATAGATGGCCTCCTGCGTCGGCTAGGTCCCCCCCCTTGGGCGAACGTAGTCGATGGCATATGGATCTTCAAGGTGAAGTGGCCACAGGGATCTCCTCCAGTCTTCAAGGCGCGTTATGTGGCTAGATGTTTCAGTCAGTGCGAGGGAGTTGACTTCTTTCAGACCTTCGCGCCTACCCCGAAGATGACCACTCTTCGGGTGTTACTGCACGTAGCAGCACAAAGAGGCTACGAGTTACACTCTCTCGGCTTCTCCACTGCCTTCCTTCAGGGTAGCCTATACGAGGAGGTCTAGTTACGTCGTCCCTCTGCCTTCACATGCACTTTCCCTCCTGGGACCCAGTGGAGGCTAAGGCGACCGGTCTACGGTCTCCGTCAGGCTCCTCGTGAGTGGCACGACACCCTTCGCTCTACCCTGTCTAACCTCAGTTTCCAGCCGTCTTCTGCAGACCCGTCGCTGTTCGTTCGTCATGGCTCTATACCGTTCTTTGTACTAGTCTACGTCGACTACCTGGTTTTTGCCACTGCTGACAGGGTTGCTTTGGCTGACGTGAAGTCCGTATTGCAAAGAGACACATGTGCACTGACCTTGGTGAGCTGCGCCACCAATCTGCTAGGGGGACAGTGGAGCTAGATCTGCTCGTGCAGGCTACCCTGGAGGAAGGCATTGGAGAAGTCCAGTGATTGAAGTGAGTGGAGCTCGTAGTCGTGCTGTGCGGCGATGTGCACTAGTACCCAGAGAGTGGTCATTTTCAGGGTAGGGGAGACGGTATGGAGGAAGTCTAGCCCCAATCGCTTGCTGAAGCTTCTCGCGGCATAGCGCACATTAAAGACAGGTGACGCTCTAGGTGGCTGCTTCATCTTGCATATTCACAAGTCAACGACAATGTTCACCCCATGATGGGGAACTACATCAATGTAGGTGCATGTGGACCTCCAAGATGCCAATTGGGCGTCTATGACCGCTATCTACTGAAAGGCCTAGTGTCCCAAAATTGCCTTAGCGTAGGTGCGCAAAGTCAGGATGTCATGAGCGTCTAGGTCGGCCACATGGGCTAGCAACATGGCACAGAAGTAAAGAGCAGTGGATCCAAGGAAAGCTAGCCCAAACTATTTGTCCTCTGGAGCGACAATGCCGAGGGGCGGAGCACCCCCGATGGACGGAGGATGGACATGAGCACAGACTAAATGAGTGGCGAACTCAAGAAGGTGGGTCGAGACAAATTTGGTGACAACAGTAAAAAAAACGGAGACATACAACAGAGGAACAATAGGGTGAGTAAAAAGAGAGGAAAGGACACGGGAGACCCTAGGACGAGTGGCATAGAGCGGAAGAATGGAGGAGGGGAGACAGTAAGGGACGATTGAGGAGGTAACGACCGAACAAAAGGCCGAACTCGAGGGGGAAGATATTAAATGCTCATAGAGTGAAAATCAGGAACAAGAGACGAGGGATGAGCACAAGGGGCACGGCGAGGCCAGAGGGAGGGGACAAGATACGGGTCACGAAATACGGGAGGATACATCTCTGAACTAGGAGAAAAACGAGTTGTAGGCAGTTGTGGGAGAGGAATAGGGGAGGAGGGAGGAGGCTGTCAGTCAAGGGGTAAGGAAGACCGAGAAGGCAAAGCGCAGGCCAGGCAGCGATGACCACTGCTGCTGTAGTGGCGACGGTGGCATGTGCTATTGCTGCTCAGCAGACCCACGGCAACCTTAGGGCCCGACCCATCTCTAGCAACACTGTTAGAACCAGCATTCCCAGTGTTAACACTTCCATAATCAGAAACTCTTGCAAAAGGACCCCATGGATCAGCACCCCCAAAACCATCACCCCTAGCATTCACAGCGACCAGCTATGGCGACTGCAAAGGCAGCCGCAGTGACTACGAGGACAACATGGGCGACTGCGAGGACAACATGGCCGATTTCGAAGACAACATGGGTGACGGCAATGAATGTGGTGAAGGTGGCGGCACAGGAGGCGCACCCCCGCGCACCGGGACCCCAGGGAAGGCAACAACCTCCCCCACGGACCCAACCAAGGGAATGGGAGTGACATGCGACACACCAGACGGAGCAGGAGACGGGGCAGGGAAACAAGCGGAGGTGCATGACCAAGGGGAGAAGTGGGAGTGAGAAACAGTGGAGTGGGGGAAACTGGGGTACCTCGATGAGGGAAGTGAGTGTAGAAATTGTCTAGAAATTATTGCGTTTCATCCAGACGAGTTACTTGGTGACTCATCAGAAGTGAGGCAACGAAAGTGAAAGAATCGGTGAGATGTTGCGTGGTAAAACAACGAGTCGGAGGCATCAAGAGGGAAACCAAGGAAGACTCAAGGAAGAGTGCGGGCTGAGAGCTTGTTTGCACGAGTGTTGCGGACATGTGAAATGCAGCCCCAGACATGAAACACATGCGCAACAATAGGGGACCTAGTCTAGAGGAGGGTTGGTGAAACATGCGGCTGTGAGGCACGAGGCCACGGGCTAAGCTAGTGCGTGGTGTGGCGGTTTGCAAATGGCCACAGAAAATGGGGGCACCTGCATGGACTACAGAGGTACGGGCGATCTCCATGACCAAGCCAATACGAAGCTCAGTTGCCGCATCTACTGGGGAGAGTCCGGGAGCATATACGCATGAACTGCACACGACAGAGTTGCACAATCCGACCAGAGGTGAACTCGCCACCGCGGTCGGAGTGCAGACGAAGCACACACCAAGCGCGGAGGGCACGGACGACCACTAGCCATAGGAGGATAGCGTCAGGCCCGTCGACATTCCGCACCAGGGGGAACACTACGATGTACCAGGATAAAATCGTCCACAACTACCACTAAGTAGCGCTCCCCACGCAGCCCAAAGATGGGGATGCGTACCCAAATGTCCATGTGCAGGGTCTAAAGAAGCGTGGTGGTGTAAGACAGCGGGGAGGAGTGAGGGGCTCTGCTTTGCGAGCCCTCAATGAAGCAGTGCATGGTGGCGCAGACGAAGGATCGAGGAGAGAAAACTGCAATAGGCGACTTGGGAAAAGACCATGCTAAGCCATGTAATGGAGACATAGAAGTGTGGGCTGAAGTAGACAGTGGTGCCACAGGAGGGACGGGTGGGTGAGCGTCTGACAAGAGCATGATGGGGCTATCTGACCAGATGCAACAACATGAGGGGACGACGTGTGCAGCATGAAAAGAGGTACCATTGTGGTAGCATCTGTACAGGTTGCAAACCGATGGTGTCCAGAAATTGTGGTGGTGACACCGAGGTCCAGAATACAACCGACAACCACCAAGTTCCTAGAGAACAAGGGGATGCGCATGCAGTAGAGGGAGCTAGATGAGCTGGCGAACACAAAAGGGTAGTAGCGCCGTGAGCGAGGACCGGTCCACAGGAGGGGTTGGCCAAAGGGACTGTGACTGGGGCTGGAAGCATTAAGATGGTGATGTGGTCGCAAAAGAAGCACTGAGATGCTCGAGAGTCAAGCGTGAAGGAGAGTGACACGTCGGTGGTGGACACACCCGGGCAAGCAACAATAGAAGATCCTACACCAGAGGTAGCCACGAAACCTAGTCTAGTCCAGTGACACTATAGTCAACAACATACAGCATAGCATAAACGTTGGACATGCCCATATTGATATCCTGCTAACCACAACACATCATACTAGACCAGTCTGAGGGAATGGCCTGAGGCCCAAAACGTCTTCGATCGGGGATGTCCTGCTGAAACTGGCTCTATAGGTCGAGCTGGACATCGAGCAGCCACGACGGAAAGTCCACCGTGCAACCCTCTGCGTCGCAACGCAGCACCAACTCAATCGCCATAATAGTAGGAAGGAGGTGCTCAGCCGTAGTAGGTGGCAGGTACAACGGCCACAGGCTGAGAACAGCCGCTCTAAAGAGCAAGGAACGAGGGCTGGCGGCAGGCTGACATTGCGCGGCTAACTGCTAGCGTTGGCAGTTGATGGGTGCGCTGGCCGTCGCAATAGCAGAGGCAGCGCATGCGGTGGTGCGCGTGCTAGTAGCGGCAAGGGCAACAGCAGTAGCAGAGCGTGTGGCAGCAGCTGTAGTGGCGGGGATCCTGCAACGGGTGCACAGCGGCAAAAGTGAGAGTAGCAGCAGGAGTGCGAGCAGCGGTGGCGGTTCACGCGGCAGCAGCGGGCGCGCTGCAGTGCCAGTGGCGCGGCGGGCGCGGCTAGTGTGGTGACGACAGGCCGGTCGCAGGTGCTAGTGCGACTGCAGGCGCGCGTGGGGCGACAGGGCCTAGGGCGGGGCGCGGAGGGGCTGCTAAGTGGGCGCGAGCGGTTGCACTTAGGGGGCGCGCTGGGGGGCTAGGAGGGTGCGTTAGGATGCACGGTAGCCATGCTGGGCGCGCTTGGGGCGGTCTAGCGACAACCGGGAGGGCGTGCTTGGGCGGCTAGGGTAGGCGAAGCAAAGGCAACCTAACGTACGTGTGATACCATGTTGGGAATCGAAAGAATTACTATGGAAGGATACAATTGGCCTACCTGTACTTAACAAAAATTCACTCCCTATAGTCAAACCTAACCTAGCCTAACAAATATAACTACAAATGTGTATGTTGACACCTTTACTTTGTGATCCCCCCTCGCCGTTCCCAGCTGAATCCTAAGAGCCACCCCCACTCTCTCCCGTCAGCCAACCCCCCGATCAAAACATGTACAATGAAACTGCTAAAGTCGGTGTTAACCGGTTACAGAGGATAGAGTTTATTTGTCTTCCTCCATGCCCTTAATAGCTTGCAACATTGCAGCCAGGTTATTGGGGTATGATGTCCCACTTCGCATCCCCTCTGCTTGCTCATCCACCTTAACTGCTGCACTGAGCTCCTCCTTCCCCACCACCTCGTGCCTGATTCCCTGCAGCTCGTTGGCAATGTCTGCCATGTTGGGCCGGCTTGCAGTGCGTTGCACAGTGCAGCGCAGAGCCAGCTGGGCCAGGCGCAGCACAGCATCATCCGGGGCGTCCATGCTCGGGTCTTTGAGAGGGTCAGTTCTTTTGGAGGAAATGCAATCGTCGGCCTGATGGATTTAATTGAACATAAGAGAGAGCACACGTGCATAATCAGCAGCAAAAGAGGTTATTGAATGACGGGAGGGTAAATGAGGCATGGCTACACCTAACTGATTAATCAAGGAGACATCATGCCATCACGGTGGGACGGGGACAGTTCTGAGAAGTCTTGCCACCACGCCATCATGCCATCATGCCATTATGCCATTATGCTACATCATGACATCATGCAAAAGAGGTTGCTGGACGACACGAGGTATATGAGGCATGCCTACACCTGATTGTTTGAATAAAGTGGGTGGGGATGGGAACATTCCTGAGCAGCTGTGCCTGCTGAGGAGGGTTATTCTTAATAGTTAGGCACAGCAGCACAACTGTACCATCGCCCTGTCCTGTCGCCTTGCCATCATGCGAATGTGCCCACGTGCCATCGTGCCAGCCTAACATCTCGCCATCATGCCGTTGGACCAGCGTGCTATCATGCCATCGTGACATCTCGCGTACTTGCCTGGAAGCAGCAACTCCTGTGCATCTCGTGTTATATACTCTTTTTGAGTGCTTCATATGTCTACGCTGTTGTCGCATGTGCGTTACAACGCAGAAACAACTACCCATCGCAGGTGATTCTTCCACTTTGGCTGTGTGAGTTAGTAATGCAGCCGGCTTGAAAGTTACTTTGTGTGCCATGGAACACAAAGAAGCACACAAAGAAGTAGCATTCGGATGGAGATCTACCTGAAAGCACCTCTTTTGCGGACACAAGGCAGCAGCACGTACCTCATGTGTCGAAGAATGCAACCATCAGCAGGAAAAGGTGACTTTGTTGCTGCATACCTGACCCGACGTGATCTGTACCTCGTGTGCTGTACCTCAAAAAGCAGCAGCACCTACCCATCGCAGAATGTGCCCATTCCTTTCACCATCACCAGTGTGGGGGCTACGGCCGGTAAGCACCACAAGCATGAGAACACCGAAGCTGCACACACAGAGGAGGAGGAGGAAGGGATGACACAGAGGAAGGGAAGGATGACAGCTAGACATGGGCAAAGAGTCGAGCTTTTAAGCTCGACTCGATCGGGGGACTCGTTACTGGTCGAGTGTCGAGTGCGAGGACCCGTTGAAAAACTCGACCGGGCCGAGTCGAGTTTTACCTGCCGAGTTTTTTTAAAAACTCGGTCCAAGCTCGGGCCCCATGTCGAGTTTTTTTCCAGACTCGTCGAGTTTTCTGGACTCGGCGAGTTTACGAAAAACTCGTCGCGACATTGGGGTGGGGTGGGCATACAAATTTTGAAAGTTGAAGTTTTGCGGGTCCAGTTTCAGATCTCGATTTCAGTCAGACACCTTCCTCAACATGTCGTCCGTAGTTTCCAGAGCCAAAGCAGCCAAACGCCCAGCTGTTTTTTCTTCTTAAACTTAAGATCGCTTCAGGGGCAACGTAGATCTAGGTTTGCGCTTAGTTAGAGTCGTGGTTTTATTGTATGGTTGGTTTCGATTAGGGTTTGAGGAGGAGGAAACGCTACTATTTAATCATGTAACAGTCGATCTACTGATTTAGCATGGCGATATTCAAGCAGCTGACAAGAAAGAACACCAACGGCGGGAAAAGGGGGGCGGGAGGAACCCACCGTGGCGATCATGCGGGAGGGGGGGGAGGGGGGGGGGGGGGGGGAGACCAGGTGGAGACGGCTACGCAGCGTCGCAGGCGTACAATATTATAGGGTATACAACAAAAAACCATGCACGAAAATAAGCCTCAGGTCTCACTTTTCTATGGTGTGTCCCGCCCCCCTCCCCCCCGCTGAGCCGAGTTTAACTAGGACTCGACCGAGTGTATGAATAGCGCCGGTCGAGTTTTAGAAAACTCGCCCTTATACAGTCGAGTTTCGAGTCCTGAACCTTGGCAAAAAAACTCGACCGGGTTTCACCCGACTCGAGCTCGAACCCGGTCGAGTTTTGGCCCAGACCGAGTCGAGTTTTACTCGACTCGGTCCGTTGCCCATGTCTAATGACAGCATCAGGGGTAGTGCTCTGCACTTCCCATCAGATTTGAGAATTATCGAAAGCAACTCAGATAAGGGCGGCTACAGCTGATGACAGCCACGAGCATGAGCACACCAAAGCAGCAGAGACGTGGGTGTTTCGGGAGAGATATTTGGAGCATCACACAAGAGAACAGTGGTGGGAGAGAGCTTTAAGATGCAAAAGCACTTTCAGGCACTTATGAGGCGCTTAAATACTGCCAGATCATCAGTTCAGAGCCCAAGGGAGGCGTTCATAATCCTAAAAAAAAAATCAATCACTACAGTTTTCCAGTGGTTGCAGGCATCGGTGGCTTGTAGTGGTTGCGTTGTGAGGCGCCTGAAAAGCAGCTCACCTGTAGACATCAGTTGCAGTGGTGGCCTTGGACGTGCGTGAGTAGATGGGATCCACATAGCCCGGTGTCCCCATCACCCGAGTCGTGCGGACAGCGGTTCCCTCTCCCGCCTTTAACAGTCCAAAGTCAGCGATCTTGGCCTGTCGGAAGGTATAATTATCGAAAGAGGGACAAACAAGCATGACTGAGGAAAAAATTACCAAGGACTTCACAATGGTGATGACTTATTTTGTAGAGCCGATCACCACTGAAAACAAATATAGAGCTGTACGTGCAATTCTTAGTTCCTTCATCTTTCTCTCATTTATATAGGGTTTTTTTTTCTCTTTCAGTATCCCGAGCTTCATCCAGATGAAGTATTATACGAACATAGCACCTATGGTGGACTAGCGAAATGCTGCCACACTTTTATCAAGTCAATGTTCACCCGTAGTGTAGTTGGAACGCATGCATCAATCTGCGTATTTAGAACATGTGTAAATAGTAATACCGTGTTTATTTCTTAATTTGAATTCATCATTTAAATAATTTGTGTTTGTTTCTGTTTCATTGACATCTTCCACATGACAACTTCACTATGTTCGCCTCAACGCTCTTGCTTGCCTGCATTTTATCCCCCAGCAGGATGTTGGCGGGTTTGATGTCGCGATGCACAAGGCCAAAGCTGTGGAGGTACTCAAAGCCACGTGCCGCACCAATGAGGATGTCCAGCCGCTGCTGGAAGGTGAGAGTGAAAGGCGCCTCTGCACACAAGAAGAGAGTGACAGGACATGAGGGAGGCAAATGAGGATGTCCAGCCGCTCCTGGAAAGAGAGAGTGAAGGACGCCTCTGCACACATGCACAGAACGAGAGAATCGCGGAAGGAACATGAGAGAACAAGAGAGTGAGAGACATGAGTGACTAACGCTGGGAGACGCGGGGAGGTGATCAATACGTGACATAGTATGCGCATAACCTTCTTGTTATGCCAGTACTAGAAAAGGTCACCATCGGTATGTTCAAAATAGAGTGTAATCATGAGATTTAGAATGGTTGCAGATGAATACGTGGTGCGTACCCTTCTTGATATAGTGGTCAAGGTCACCGTTGGAAACAAACTCGTAGATCAAGATCTGCTCTGGACGTGTCCTCATGTCCCCTCCAATAGCAAACCCAAGCAGCCGCACGATGTTGGGATGGTTCTTGTCGGCCATTTGCTGGACCTGCGAGAATAAAAAGGCAGTAATGAAATGGAGAAAGGGAAATTTGGACAGCAGTCAGCATGGGATGAATCGAACGAGAAACATGGCATGGCACGCTGGATTGGAACCGTCATGCCAAGGTGGAATGACATAGAAGCCGCCTTGAAAGGAGTGCCATGGTAGAATAGAATGCAACGAGAAGCACAGCCAAAGAGGAGAAGTTTCTAAATCAATAGCAGTTCGCCCCAAACTCAAAGTGGAAAATAAAAGGCCCATTTACGGCAATCATATAGCTCCTCTTGACAGCCCACAGGGTGGTATCATCGTGCAGAGACACGCCCTTGTACACCACACCAAAGGCTCCGGAACGTATTATTGGGGAACCTCAAGAATAGGAACAAGAAGACTCATTCGGACCCACCTCTTTGTGAAATTCCACGTCAATCAGTTTGGCTCGCTTGACAGCCCACAGGGTGACGCCATCATCTGGACACACGCCCTTGTACACGTCACCAAAGGCACCCGAGCCAAGCTGGTTGTCAGAGGACCAGTTGTTGGTGGCTTTGAGGACTTCGTCAAGAGAGTACTCGGTGCATTGAGCTCCCGACATGCTGCGAGCTCGGCCTGTAAAGGTGCGGATGGAAGGGGTGAGGAGTGGTGGTGAGGGGTGCAAGGCAACCCAGCCAAGCTGGTTGCCCGAGGACCAGTTGTTGGTGGCTGTGAGCACTTCTTCAAGAGAGTACTCGGTGCATTGAGCTCCCGACATGCTGCAAGCTCGTCCTGTGACAGTGTGGGGTGAAGAAAAAGGGGTGACGGGAGCCCGATTTTTGAGGTGTTTTGAAAAAATCAGCCCGAACCACCCTTGCCCATTGCCTGGTTGAGAACAGGCAAGTCCAAGCGAGAAAGCGAGAGAGAGAAAAATAGAGAGGGAGAGAGAGAGAGAGAGAGAGAGAGAGAGAGAGAGAGAGAGAGAGAGAGAGAGAGAGAGAAGGGCCTAAGGAGGAGGAACAATGGATGGAGGAAGAAGAGAAGACATGTTTCCAGACTTCCAGGTCCCTCCCCTGACTTCTAGGGCTTCAAATCCAGGGTTTCGGGTTTAGGGTGTATGGACGGGACGCCCTACTTGCTGCACGTGCTGCTCGCTTCTTGTGACCTCTCCACCACCACAGCAGCGTGCCAATGATCAGCAGCATCACAGCAGCCACAGCAATGCCGGCAATGGCTCCCACAGAGAGACCGCCTCCCGACTGCGAGGGAGGCGCTTCGGGTGAGAGGGGGGGACTGAAAGAGGAGGAGGATGGGCCCGTTGTGTTGGGCGCTGTAGGTGGGGAGATAGACGCTGGAGAAGGGGGTGGTCGACGTGGGGATGGGGGTGCTGGAGGTGGGGAGGGGGGTGCTGGACGTGGGGAAGGGAGGGGCGGGGTTGGGGGAATATGTGTAGGTAAGGAGGAAAAGCATTCTGTCATAATCTGCAAGGTTCAAAATACGGTTTCGTAAAATACGGTCCGTTTTTTACGGTGAAATTCGGGCGTTTTTTTGTTAGAGAACTCTGGTCACCAGGAAAAAAAAGGGAAAAACAAGGTCAAACACAATTTCAATCATGCCAACAAGCGCACACATGCAAGAAGGGGCCCGTCCCCTTCATCCTGCTGAAATTCGGGTTCAATTTGGTTCCATAAAGTGGCCAATTCGTTAATCAAACTGAAAACACCTCCTGGAACCGTTTTAAACGGTCAATTTTTACAGTACCGTTTTTTACGGTAATTAATTAAAAAAAATGTCGTTTTTTTTTTACCCTGATCTGTAATGATTTATCATATATAGACGCACTACAACGACAAATGTACATGCGTATGTGTATATTTACAAATGTATGGTGAGGTTGCGCGTAAATTGGCAAGCACGCCAAAGATGATGTATGGTGGCGGTGGTGGGAAGGGTTGTGGGTGGGTGCGTGTGTGCATACTTGTGGGTGTGCGTGCCTCTGTGTGTGTGTGTGCCTCTGCGTGTGTGCATGTGCGTGCGTGTTTTCCCGTTTTGTTATTGCTCACGTGGTGCTGGCTTGATGCAAGTAGTGCAGAAGGAAGGGCACTGGATGCAAAAAGCGGTTTGAGAAGACTGCTGAACCACACATGGGGTCTTGTTAGGCGGGCACGTGACACGAGTATCAGTCAGATTCCTGGAAGTGTGGAAAGGAGGTTCAAAAGCGGACCATTTCAGAACACGGAAAAAGGTTTGGGGGGAACGAGGGGGTTCTTCAGAATAAACATCGGCAAGAAATCATGTGTGGTGCTCCTTAGAATAGAAGCTCCAGCAGATGTGCTTCACATGATTGGTTTACGGCAACTGAGGGAAAGCAGAACTGAGTGTGTCGGTGATTCCGGAGTGCCTTAGAGTTCTTCGATTTTGGCAAGCCTGCCCAGTGTCGGAGGGAAAGTGAGGTCCCAGGGATCCTCACTCATGGGGAAGAGCAGCACTAGTGTCTTACAATTCTTACAACTGAGTGCCTTACAATTCTTACAACTGAGTGCCTTACAATTCTTACAACTGAGTGTCTTACAATTCTTTGAGTTTGGCAAGCCTGCCCAGTGTCGCAGGGAGGGGTCCGCTCAGACTGGATTTTCGCACATTCCTGGATAGGGAGCAATGTTTGTTGAGCATAGTAGCATACGTAGGCTTGTCTCAAACCATTGTCGGGCATTCTTGCGTCAAACGGGATTAAACCTTCAAACCAGGTCAATCCGTAGCTCAAGTTGTCATTTGAGATCGAGGTTCAAAGTTAAAAATCGAGTTGCCGCATGGCACACGCCATGGCTGCATAATGCATGTCACAGCCTCATACCTCATGGCACAGCCTCAAAACCTAAGTAATAGCCCAAGAGATCATGCCATAGCCTCAATCAAACTTATGACATGGTCACAAAACAGGTACAGTTCTTCATGCGGTGGTTCAGTTCATATGGCACTCATAGGGCAAAGAGCGCAAGCAAGGCGCATTTGCTGTGTTTACAGCTCTGGTTGCTTACAAGGTCGTGAGCTGCAAGAGGTTGCCTTCTGAGGCGCCTCAAAAGTCATCAAAGCAGAGTTTATGAAAAGCCACCGGGAAAGCTGGCCTTTGAGGCGCCTCAGAAGCTGTCCTTACAGCTCTGATTGCTTACAAGATTGTGAGCTGCAAGAGGTTGCCAATGGATTCTGGGATGCTGCCAGTGAGGTTGTTGGGACCAAGGTACCTGGTGAGGTGAGGGGGACAGCAGCAGGAAAAGTCTTACAAGAAAGGCGCTGTGAATAATCCACCGCAGGGAGGTGTGGTGGGTGGGTGGGACGGAGGGTGGCGGCAGGGGAAGCACGGGGCAGGCTGTCAAGAGCAAGGTACCTGGTGATCTGAGGGTACAGCAACAGGGAATTTCTGGAAATTGAATGAGACAAGTTTTTACGAGAAAGTGACGAATCTATCACTGGAACATTGTTCTAGCACGATCATTACAGACACAGGCTAGAAAAGAATCACTTCATCACATATACGCATACACACATACACGCACAGAGTAAAGAAATAGTCTGTGTGACCATTTCAATGTCTTGAAATGGATTTTTACGCGATTGACTACCGGGAAGAGCAAGCAATTGCTATGAAATGATTGATCGCACATTATCATAATTACACAATAGAAAGCAGTCATGTATGCAGATGTCATCATGAGCCTCACAAAAAAAAGACACTCGCCGTTCGTCCAATTAGAAGACTTACAAGCCATTCAGGAATAGAAGGTTGCCTATTTTTGCAGGTATGGAGCCCGTCAGTTCGTTTCTCCATAGCAATCTGTAACGGGGATGTAAAAAAACGGAAGAATGACCAGAACAAAGGTGCTTCCTTAGCATCAGTCCGACTGAGATGCCTCAAGACGGCGTTGCATGCAAGAGCCTGAAACTCGTGGAAGAACATGTTCCCAGTCCCAGGGGTTTGGGAACTTTTGAGACGTCTCAAAGAAAGAACATGTTCCCAGAATCCCAGTCCCACTAGATAATTTTTAGACGCCAGTCCCATCCAATCCCAGCTGTGCGTTGCATATAAATCCCATTCTTTCTGTGCCTCTTCTTCTACTTGGTTTGCATGGGCAGACATTAGTAGTAGGGGCAATAGTTTTAGGATGGCTGGGTAAGAGGAGTGGATAGAGGGTGTTCACAATAGCAGTGCAGAGGACCTCCCAAGTGCTTTCTTTGGAGAGGAGGCATTCAAGACCGAGCGCTGCTAAAGCACATTTGCAAATCCTGGAAGCATGGACATTGAGCCGGCAACATCAACTTTTGAGGCATCTCAACAATCAACTCCAGGAGCGATCAATAATGTAACATCATTAATGTTCCTCCTGCCTCTCAAGTGAAACTACAGGGTAATGCACTCACAAGTTGTTTATGTTTGGTTTGAGACGCCTCAAAATACACCTCAATAATGCTCCTCCTGCCTCTCAAGTGAGACCAAGGGGTAACGATCTCACAAGTTGTTGAGGTTTGTGAGCTTGAAGAGAGATTCAGGAATGGTGCCGGTCAAGTTGTTGTAGCCAAGCTGTCTGCCTCACATTCAGTGGATGGTGGTAGGAAAAGGACGGAAGGCGCGCGTGTGGTGAGACGAATGATTGTTGTGTATACACTATTAGAATGGACATTATGGCAAGGGTCGACGGATAAATAGAATATATATATATCAAAAGTGACACAGCACAAGCATTGGATTAGACAATATGGGAAGGGGGCAACATTTCCTAAATCCAATACCGGTATTAAGACCGTGCTTACATTTCAACTCTTTCCTGCATGTCACTCACCTGTGCACGCCTAGATTTAACTTCATCACTACCTTATTCAACTACTTTGTTTGGCAAATGTTTTCAGTGGAGTTTAGGGAATCTACTGGTGATTAACTAACCAATCGGTCGTACGGATCCACACTAACGTGGCAGCATGCATGCATCACGTCTTCTGCTCGGGCACAATTGCAGGAATAACAGACACAATCGTAGCTGATTTGTTTCAATGTTGCAGGTGGGTGGGTGTGTGGGGGGGTCTATGCATTTATGCAGGAGTCATTAATGCAGGAGTCATTTATGCAGGATTCATTAATGCAGGAGTTATTTATGCAGGGATCATCTATGCAGGAGCCATGTATGCAATGCAAGAGCCATCTAGCCCGTCTCATTGAGAAGCTCACAGGGTTGTCAGCGCTGCAAGGCTGCCTATTTTTGAAGAGATTGAGCCAGTTAATCTGTTTCCAAGGAGACTGCTGCAGTTTGTGGAAACAAAAGGTGCAACAAGGAGAGTAAAGGACAGGTTTCAGTTGCAAGCATCAGTATGAAAATACAGGATGAAGAGGAAGTCAAAACTGCATTTAAAACAAAACATGGTCATCTCAAGGCGAGCAGAGGTGCATGCTGAGATGAACCCCATACTTTCAACAATGCCTTCTGGGGCATCCAGAAATTGCTGAAATGCATGTGCCTGGTTCGGCTACGGCCCACCTGGCTGGGAAGCAAAGAAGGACTGCGCTGCACTGCACTTACAGCGTGCTGAGTTTCGTGAGATTGAAGAGCGACTCAGGAATTGAGCCGGACAAAATGTTGAAGAAAAGGAGTCTGCAAATGAAAGAAATGGAGGGCACACAAGTGTCGAGTGGAGAGACACCATACTCCACTGCACAGCACGTGTATGTACGTGGAGTGTGTTGTGCTCCGAGTATGTTCCAATGAGTAGTTCCTCACCTCTAGTCCAAGATATTGAGAGTTCAACTCCCATCATCTGCACTTTCCCCCTTCACATTATGCTCACCATGACATGTCCATACTCCACCACACTTATCGACAACAAAGTGTGGTCAGTGGTCACAGTTGGCATTGCCCCCTGTCCACTCATCCCATGCTCACCTTGGTGGCCCCTATGGTATGCCATATGCTGTCATGGAGGCTGCTGTTCCAGCCTGGCCCACATGTGCAAAATTGGGCCTCAGTTCCTAACTGATCAAGGTTGGCTAGCCTTGCCCTCAACTTTGAGATGCTGCAGCTAGCCTCAAGAGTTCAGCCATATGTACATGATTCACCATTTCCTTAAAACTTATCCAAACTCGCTTTTTTGGGCAGCCCGGCGCGGCCCGACCTGGGCCGGGCTCAACCTAATTGCAGTTGGTCTGAGCAAATGTGTGTCCCGTCCATGTGCGTGCATGTGTGTGGTGTGCGTGTGCGTGCGTTTGTTGAGGGCATGTGAACCAGAGGGATAGTGCGGCTTAGGGATGAGCAAAAGGCAAACTCGAACATGTGTATGTCCCCTTGCCTCGAACACAAGTATTTGGCGAACCGAACATGTTTGCGTTCAGCCGAACACAAACCGTTGAAGGAGGTTTTTGGTCGGTGTTCGCCAAAATCCAAGCACGAAAATGTTTGTGTTTGTCTGTAGGCAGCCTTCATTACAGACACAGGGTTTAGGGATGGTGGGTTGTGGCGTCCAGGGTGGTGTGGCTATACATGGTGGACGTTTGGGAGTGAAGGAAATGAAACGCCAAAGAGTGGAGTTTGGTTCCGCCAAACTTTTCTATTAGGGTCTACATATGCTTGCTGCTGGAGCTTGTAGTCTAGGCTGTCGAAGGGGAGTTAGGCAAAAGTCGGGCTCAAAATGAGCTCGACTAGTGTGCCCCGTCGACTTAGACAAAGGGTCGAGGGACGTTTCTGACAAACACAAGTGATGTCAAACACGAACGTGTTTGTGTTCGGCGCAGCTCGGCTAGCCGCGGTAAACCCAAAACGATCCCGTTCGGGCAAACACAATCATGTTCGCCCCAAACATTTTGTTCCAAAAAAAATTGAGTGTTCGAGGCGAACTGAACAGGCCTTCCCCCTTGTGCTCATGTCTAGTAGGGTTGCTGTGAGCCTTAGGAGCAATAAAAACGGAAGGTGCCATGTTTAGTCCACCAAGTCAAGAGGTTCACAACAAGTCAAGAGACTCACAGATCTCCAAGATTTGAAAGTTTGCCTAGTGATGCTGGTATCGAGCCAGTGAGGTTGTTCCCATGTAGGTATCTGCTTTCCGTGGGAGAAAAGTGTGATGAGCGGAGTAGACACCATAACAGCGAATTTAAGGGGTCACAGTGAATGGTTGAAGGAGAGGCATGTGAGGGCGTCAGGGGTGGCACTTGTTGATCACAGAGGGACGCGTACCGTGCAGCGCACTCAAGAAGACTGGCAAGTTGGAAATGACTTACTTGAAAGGGTGAGGGAATGAGCATGAGGAGTGGATGTGATGTGGGTCCCATGGCATGTGGTGTGGATGTCACGTCACATGGCATGTGGTGATATTGTAATGCAGGTCGCGTCAGTCCCATGTGGTGTGGATGTGATATGGCTCACATGTCGACCCAAAAACAGCAGCGCTGCTCACAGGTGGGAAAGCTTTTGGAGGTTGCCAAGAAAGGCAGGAATGGTGCCTGTCAAGTCGTTGTAGCCGAGGTTCCTGGTGGGACCGAGAGAAACGAGTGCCATGCGGGCGGGGAGTGCCCAGGCCATGCATAATGATGAGATGAACACGCACGCATGCACAAGACATGCATGCACTAGCCACTAGGCATGCACAAGCATCAAAAGGCCTGCATAAGGTATGCATATGCATAAGGTATGCCTACATGCACAATGAGAGAAGAGTGACACTGTGTTTTATGGTCGCCCATAGTCTCTCATGGTCGCTCACGGTAGCTTTAGGCGGTTAAGCTTCATTGCCTCCTCACTCACTCAGAAACACTTGCACCAAAGGATATGACAAGTAGAGGGACTCAAGATGAATCCCAGTAGGGTTCGAAGGTCAACTAGACAGATGAGTGTACTGGAAACATCGCCGCGGAAGGACAAGGGCTATTGCTGGTGAGTGTTGTTGAGGAGAACAAGGAGAATGCAAAGGGGTGCGGAATAATGTCACATCACATCACATCACATCACATCACATCGCATCACATCACATCACATCACATCGCATCACATCACATCACATCACATCGCATCACATCACATCACATCACATCACATCACATCGCATCACAACACATGACGAACTCCAATAGAGGGAGAATAATTAACACTCATATGGCAGTGAGAGGGAGATACCACAAAGGGAATGCGAGGCTAAGAAGTGAGCCTAAGAAATGAAAGAAAACAAAAACTACCTCTCATCACTCACAAGTTGGTCAAAAGCCCAAGGTTGGATAACGTCGCTGGTATGGAGCCCGTCAGATTGTTTCCAATTAGCCACCTGCATCTCGGAAGTGAGGTGCAAAGTCCAGAGAGGGGTTTGTGAGTATGAACGACACCTCCTACCTATCGACCATACTGTAGGAACATTCGTAGCAGCGAAGGAACAAGGAGGGACTTGGCGCCGTGCCTAGAAGGAGCAATGCCCACAGACAGACCTTTCAGCTGAACGCTCAGTCCTACATCCTTGCTGCTCGATATAGGACTAAGGTAGAGTTACATGTGTATGAACTTCGCGTGGTGTCCCAACTTCGAAACGCCTGCTAAGGACTTGATTTTAAGCTTAAAACAGTACAGCACTCAGTGTATGTCGAGCTAAGAACACAGTTCAATCAAGCTTCGAAGCATAAACAACCTGATGCAGATCGGGCTGGACGCTAAGTGTACTATGCATGCATTCATGCTGCAGCCAAGAAGCATGCAAGGTCTGGCTGGGGCTCACACATGTAGGGCGAACGAGGAACAGCACTAACAAGTAATTGAGGCTTATGAGATTGCCCATGGATGCAGGGATGGTGCCAGTTAAGCTGTTGTAACAAAGTTCCCTGATCGGCAAATGCGCACAGACTGAGGGCCAGGATACATTGGAAATGAATAAATGAGGGCACGAATAGATAGCAAATGAAAACGGAAGGCATGCATACAGCGTAAAAGAAGCCACGCAAGACTTGATTGAGGGACATGCATTCATAGTGGGAAGTGGTTTCTGACTTAATCTGGCACTTGCTTGGCTCGGCCTGGCTCCGCTAAGCTCGGCTCGTGTAAGGGACAAGCGCGCACCAACTCAAGCCGAGTGGTATATTTGGTTGGCAATAGTTCAGCTTAACTTGGTGTGGTACTCAGAGATACAATGGTGCTACATCAACATTTTATAAGTGTGGAACCAACTTTCTCATGCCCTCCTCGGAGAGTTGGTTCTACATTTGATGATTTTGTGTTAGGACAAAATAAAGTGTTAGGATAAAAGAGATGAGCCTAGGTTACGAGGCATGCATGGCCTGTCTCTTTAGGAAACTCACAAGTCGGTCAGCTTTGGAAGGTTGCCGATAGTAGTTGGTATTGGGCCGGTCAGGCTACTGTTCCATAAAGCTCTGCATTCGAGAAAGGAAGGAGGGTTGTACGGAGAGACGAAAGGCCAACTTACGAGCTTTTGCGACCCATGACTAACAAAGTGAAACCATGAAACAAGAAGGCTCACAACAAGCTCGAATGTGAAGCACTCACAAGGTAACAAGGTCTTTTTTGTGGCACTCCAGAAACAGACGCCAAAGAAGGAGGAGCACTGGCAAGGTGTGAGTGCCTGCCTCACGTCAAATGTCCACTCTCTGAGTGCCTCACATCGCATGTCCAGTTGTGTTGTGAGTGCCTCACATCGCATGTCCAGTTGTGTTGTGAGTGCCTCACACCGCATGTCCAGTTGTGTTGTGAGTGCCTCACCTACCTCACATGTCCACCCAGGGAGGAGCAGCACTCACAAGTATTCAAGGCTTTGGAGGTTGCTGATGGAGGCAGGGATTGAGCCTTTTAGTCTCTCGTCGGAAATGCTTCTGATGGTCGGAGATTGAAACGGGCAACAGCAATGGAGAGAGATCTGCTGCATGTGTGCATGATACATGCATGTGCTGCATGCGTGCATGATACATGCACGTGCTGCATGCGTGCATGATACATGCATGTGCTGCATGCGTGCATGATACATGCATGTGCTGCATGCGTGCATGATACATGCATGTGCTGCATGCGTGCATGATACATGCATGTGCTGCTTGCGTGCATGATACATGCATGTGCTGCATGCGTGCATGATACATGCATGTGCTGCATGCGTGCATGATACATGCATGTGCTGCATGAATGCATGTGACATCTGTGTACTGCATGCATGCATGTTCTTGTAACTCGGTAGAATGAAAAATCGATTCCAAAAAATGACGGAAGGAAATGGTGGTTCAAGGTTTCTTTGAATCGCACAGACATAACCTTGGGTAGGGAGGCAGCTAGTGAGTTGCTGATGTTTTTAAAAGGAAGGGAGGATAAGAGGGAGGGTCCAGGGTGCGGAGAGGCGAGAACAAACCGTCTGACTTAAATGGACCACGGTGAAGGGTTTAAGGTTTAGGGTTCAAGAGAAAAACATATTGAAGCCCACCTGAGTCCACACACCTGATTAACTTACCAAGGCCCACTCACATGCGTACATCATCTCACTCAGAAAAATCCCCTCACATGTCAAACATCAAGGTCCTCTGCCATGCTTTTATCATCTCACGAAGGTCTCATAACCTGTTTTCACCTCACTCAGAGAGTTCTCTTCACATGTCAAACATCAAGGTCCACTGCCATGCTTTTATCTCACTCACGGAAGTCTGCTCACATGCTTATATTAACTCACTCACAACGCTCTGCTCACATCTTTGTGATCATGCCCTGGGAGTCGCACGTGACAGTGCTTGCATTGTCGCAGTCCCCACCAACCGCCCAGCCGTCAAACGTGGGGCGGCCCCACGCCTTCTGGAAATCCAGCAGGACTTGCGCTGGCGGCAGGGCGGGGGAAGGAGGAGTGGAATGGATGAGGGAAGGGCGGAGGGCAAAGAGGAGAGAAAGGAGGAGGAGGGGGGGGGGGGGGGGGGGGATGAGGGGGAAGGGGCGCCGGCAGAGAGGAGGGAAGGGAGTGGGGACTTGGACGGTGGTTCGACCACCCCTGTTTGCACCTCCTCCCACCGCCCTCATCACATTCCCCCCATCTCATCACTTTCCCTTCCACCATCACATTCCCTCCCACCTCATCACAATCCCTCCCACCTCATCACAATCCCTCCCACATCAGATCCCCACCTTCCGTCCCACCTCATCACAATCCCTCCCACATCAGATCCTGAAACAAGGCTACGGCGCTGCTGCCGCGCACGGCGCGGCTGGCCTGGCCGGCCATGGCGACTAGGAAGAGGGCGGCGCCGTAGCGAGAATAAAGAAAGAAACGTTGCAGCGGAAGGGAGAGAAGCTAGGCAAAGGGAGAGGCCTAACTCCAGATTCGTCGACGAGAGAGTTGAGAAGAGATTCAAGAAGTAGAATAGAAAGTAGATCCAGGGATGATACAACAAGATCCTGAGAAGGAATATTTATGCTAGGAAGATAGAACCGCGGCTCGTAAAGAAAGCCCGCGTCGCTACGCTTCTAGCATGGCATCTTGGCATAGCGCCTCGATGCCATGCCTTGCTGTACTATACTTCCTGACGGGGATACGGGAGTGTGCTCTAGGCTAGCAAGTGGTGTTGTTCGTAGCTACTAGGTATCAGCCCTTCGGAAATTCCCATGCATCCCGCATGGTGAGTTCCCGTCTTGTTACAGATCCCCACCTTCCGTCCCACCTCATCACATTCCCTCCCACCTTTCCTTTCCACCTCATCACATTCCCTCCCACCTTCCCTCCCACCTCATCGCATTCCCCACAACCTCATCACATTCCCTCCATATGCTCTTCCACCAAACTTTCAACTTCACTGCGCCCCCTCTCTTCTCCCCTCCCCCCTCCTCTCCCCTCCCCTACACGCATGTATCCTTTTCTCTCCGCTCCTCTCCTATCCTCATTCGAGCGTGGTTAATTTAAACACGATGCTTCCGCGGATCATCGCTTGAGCGTGGGGCGCGTGACGACGCCAAAAAGCGCAGTGATCTATTCAAGGGTTTACAGCACGCGCGCATTACGTCATGCTCATTCAATCGCAAGTTGCGAGCGGCACGCACCCTGTGACTTGGCAAAAGGGACGCATTCGACGCGTGAAACCGCGTGACACGTCAGCAGCAGCAGCACGCCGAGCAGAAGGGCTTCTGCGGGCTTCATCACGTCGCGATGGTCGCGGCAAAGCCAGGCAGGTTCTCTATTCATAACTTATGATTATCAGCTAACGCGTCTAAATTAATCGTATAATTCTACTTCGCTGTAAATACCCCTGAAGAAAGGTAAGGGGAAAATCGTGCTGGAGAACTGCCTGCTTACATGGAGGAAGGTCAGGAGTGGAAGGGGGGGGTGCCAAAAAAAAAAACGCATATGGCGAAGTTGGATTTTGCTGGTGTTTTGTCCCTGAAATGAGTGGTTCAATAGTAGCATGAAAAGCGGTCGCAACGCAATATGTGGGTAGGAGTTGAAGGGATGGCGTGGCATGGTCTCTTGAGCGTCCTGAAGGGGCATGCTACGCCATGCCATCATCTCAATGTGAGGACGTGGCCCAGACCGTTTCTGATCGGCGCTGATCTGATCAGGGCGATCTGATCGGGTTGCTTGTGATTGCATTTCTCGCTTGCCCGATAGTACTGATATCCTAGTAATTTTAAGGCGCCTGCCTCGCAAGTGTGCCAGCATTTTCTTATCATTTCGTCCCAGTTTTGGCGAGAACGAAGGCGTAGCGAATAAAATGTTCCCATGTATTATCGTAAACTACATTCTCAGTGATGCATGCGCGACATCTTCACGAGCTTAACGATAAAATGTTGCTTTTTTCGTAGGCGTCGCGAAGATCCCCAATCCCATGCAATCAAGTGATCGTGACCGATTGTGTGTGATTGTGATTGATTGGGGTGTTTGAGGCGGCTGATCGAGTTGGGGCGATCAATTGATCGCGATCAATTGATTGCCAAAAATTGGTTCGTGGAAGTTGTTGATCGCCTCTGATCGAGGCGATCAGAGGCGGTCTGGGCCACGTCCTGAGAGTTGGATCGGTTGGGTTGGGACAGCGCACAGCTGGCACCGATTCCGCGAGGAAGGCAGCACCGCTGAGGGAAATCCCGTGGGGGGCAGGGCTCAGGAAGCAGGAAATTTTACCATCGTTAGCCTTTGTTTCAGAATGGCTTTCGTATATCACCTTGCATAAGCAGGCATTGACGGTGATACAGCCCTACCATGGTTTGTACTGAATATATAAGGTCCCTGGTTTCTTGTTTCTGCGTAATAGCATAGCCTATTTCAAGACGCAATATGTATGGGGGGAGGCGAGGGGAGGGGGGGGGGGGGGGGTGGGGGGGTGTTATTGGCTGGGCGACCTGCGGTGGCAGGGTGAAAGTTGTCCGAAACTCGTTTCTGGCAGGTTGGCCCAAAACACATGGAGAGCTTGGGAAAAGGCAGGCAGGCACCCCTACAAGATTCAGTTTCCTTTTCGCAGCCAATGAGAGTTGATGGCGGTTAAAGCAGGCGACCAATGGAGGGGAGGAATGAACTTTTGGGATTGGCTGAGCTGTTGGATGATGTGCTGTATCAGCAAACTGATGGACATTTCGGTTTCGGTATTTATGGGATGGCAATACACAAGATGCCGTTTGACTAACCCAAGGTTGCCTTGTAAAGAGGGCTCTTAATTGATTCTTGCATTTCGCTAAGTTTTCGTCAATTCGCACTTAGCAAAAAGGGCTTTTCAAAAGATTTTGTAACTCTCTGTTGACCGTTTGACGTTGGTCTCTTCTGTCAAACTTCGGTTTTTGTGGTTCTTATTGCTCGAGGTGCTTGTAAATGGGGTGCAACTGGCTGGCACCCTAATACACGGGTGCAGAGTTTCCATCGCGGGCAGGGCAAATTCGCGCACAGGGGCTGGGCATCTTGTGTAGAATCCATGCCACGTCAAACTTCTGATTTTGTGCACACCTAATTTCGCCCAATAAATAACCGCGTTAAGACGCTAAGCGCTGTGATTCTAACGCTAAATAATCACAGCGCGTTAGAATCACAACGTTTTTCGCCCAATAAATAACCGCGTTAAGACGCTAAGCAGCGTATACACTTGAGGTCCCTTTCACGTCCTTTTTTGAAACACTACTTTCCTCGTGACTCACTCAGAGTCGCATTGATATACTTCCAGAATCCATCTTCGCTATAGGCGGTTGTCTTGAGAATCTATCTAAACCATTTGTCAGTGACACTGCTTTTTGTTTTCCTCTCCCGACCTGATAGTTGTAGTGTTTTATTCTCCCATGAAGACATCATTTTTTTAGACACAAGTCGCTGATGCATTATAGTAGAGGACCCGCAGCTTGCCGCAACCGTGGGGGCGTAATGAAGCCCGCAGCAACCCTGCTGCTCTGGCGCGCTGCTGCTGCTGCTGCTGACGTGTCACGCGGTCTCACACGTCGAATGCGTGCCTTTCGCCAAGTCGCAGGGTGCGTGCCGCCCTGAAATGCTGGGTGATAAGCATGACTCAATCATGTTGATGGCCAGTCAATGAATCATTGTACATATGCGCGTGTCGAAAATCTGAGAAGTACTAGAAACTGCGCGTTTCCGCGGCGTCACGCCTCGCCTCCCAGCAAACACGGCTTGCTCCCTCTGCGCGATCAGCGCAGCATCATATTTGAGATAGCTGCAGTCGTGCATTCGATTCAGAAAGGGAAAGGGGGGGGGAAGGGGAGCGGGAGGGGAGGGAGGGGAGGGGAGGGGAGGGGAGGGGAGGGGAGGGGATGGGAGGGAAGAGGAGGGAAGGCGCTTTCAGCTGGGAAGCTGGTAGCTTGTCCCTCTTTCCCTGTTCACTCGTCCCTGTGCCCTCCTCGTTCATCAGCGCCCTTCTCGCACACTGGCTGGCAGGAGGTTGGAAGAGCATGTGATGAGGTGGGAGGGAAGGGAATGTGATGAGGTGGAGGGAATGTTATCAAAGCGGTGGGAGGGCATGCGAAGGCGGTCGTTGGTAGACCCGCTGAGTCCCCTTGTTCCACTCCCTTTGGTAGACCCTCCTCTCTGCCACGCCCCGCCCTTCTCTCCTCTCTGCCACGCCCCGCCCTTCTCTCCTCTCTGCACGCCCGCCCTTCTCTCTCTCTGCCACGCCCTCCCTCCCCCCTCTGTACCGCACCCCGCCCTTCTCGTCTCTCTTCCGCGCCCCCCTTTCTCTCCTCTCTTCCACTCCGCCCTTCCCGCCGCCAGCGCAAGTCCTGCTGGACTGTCAGAAGGCGTGGAGCAAAACGTTTGACGGCTGGGTGGTTGGTGGGGACTGCGACAATGCGAGCAATGTCACATGCGATGCCCAGGGCATGATCAAGAGATGTGAGTAGACGTTTGTGA